ATATGATTTTAAGATGATCAGTCATTTTATTAATTTATTCTCGTTTTACGAGACACCAGGGAAGATACTGAGTACAGGGTAGAGACAAGATGAACTTTATTGCAATGCGCTTAGAGCGCATATTAGGATGTAAAGTACTTATCCGTGCAATCAGATTTTAGTGGAATAACGATATAAAGCTAAACAATTATCTAAAATTATATGCAAATGTACATTCTCTAAAAAAATATCATTACTGTTATTGAGCTATTGCTTCGTTTTAATAGTTTTGTTAGTAGCCTGGCACCATAACAGCCAGGGGAAATATGGCAGGGGAGAGACATTTTCGTTAAAAATCTAAAATTGCCGTAAAACTACTAATTTTACAAAGATTACAAATAAATAAAAGGTATGCAGCACTATTTAAAATAAATTTATATAGATATAGTAGTATTTAAACACATACATACGAAAAAATAATTACCAGGGTAAATACTTCGATCACTTAACACGGCTGCACTCAAAGTGCACCGTTGCGCAAATGGCAAAAAAAATTGCCGCGCGGATGGCTTATGCAGCGCTTGCTGCTAACATCACGTGACACTCGGTGTCTTCACGGTCAAAACTAGCATAGACTATGGTAAGCAAATACGATTTTCAAACTAAACCTAAGGCCAGGGGGCGAGACACGAAACTCGGAGGACACAGTTTGCGATTAATATTTTTTATAAAAAGTGCAAATATAAATGAATTTAATGGTTACGTACTGTAACTAAGTTATCAGGGTTCATGTTATTACTGATAGAAAAGTAATAATTAAATTTCAACGGACTCAAAATTACTGATTTACAAAAAAAAACGGTTAGGGGATAACCCAGGGGAAAGATGTTTTTCCTCTTTGTGCTGTTATTGCAAGTAAATTATGCACATTTTGAATATAATTTTCAGTGACAATTTTGAACACATTTAGTTAATTGAAATTATTAAGATTTTAGACCATAATTTCCAAATATAATGATTTTTTTCGCTTAGCCGTCGAACATACTTCTTAACTGAGAATCACCCAACTCTTTTGATACTCTTAAACAAATATTATATGCAATTTTATATTATATCTTTATTCATGTGTGGCTAATATAATAAACCTTTTATATTTATCCTGTATTTAATTTTTTTTTAATAATCCAAGTGATTTTTTTTACAGATAGGTCCAACAAATGACTCCACCTCACCTTTTGTTAAGTGAAGATGAAGTCCAGACGAAGGTTGATAATGATAAGATAAGATTGAGATTGTAATGAATTTGATTTAATATATTCGAACGCAATTATTTAGGTACTAATACAGCAGATTTTTTAAATATCCAGCCATTTGCTACAGATAAAGCTCCATAATCGAGTGATAAAATTGTAATATCAGTGTATTTAAGAATATTTAGACCAATTATATTGAAAGTAATATTTGTTTGTTCTTGAAATATTTTTAACTTTTGTTCTGTAATATTTGTTAAGAGCATCAAAAGAGTCATAGTTATGAACCTCTAAAGTTAAGAGAAGTTCCAATTAAACTGTGGAGTACTATATGTGCTGACATATTTTTCTTTAAATCCTTTAACCGAATATGATCTTTAAAGTACAGACAGCCACAGATAAAGTTATCCAAAACTGTCAAATTATCCAACAGATTAAGAGGTTTATCTTTCTTGAATATAGGTATTATTCACAATGATGACAGTTTGGGCTAGCGCATAAATACAACTTTTAGTTGAACAACAATTTTGTTTTTTATCGTATGTATGTATAATATATTGAAGCGCACATACTGTCAACTCGATAGTTGCTCAACAAAAAAGTCAAAAAGCTGTATCGATCTGCTTTTGATTAAAAAGTTGGGCAACTATCGATCAAACGTTCAAATTGTATTGCATTGTATTGATGTGCACATCCACCATCGACTAAACAGTCGATCCGCGACTGTCAGTCTCGCATGCTTATTTGGAGCGGTTCCACGTCTCTTGTCACCATGGCGGGCTTTGCGGGAACTATTACGGACGACACGGAGGAGTTTATTTATAGTGTAGAAAAAAGGCCTGTACTTTACTTAAAGAGTCCGAAAGAGTATTCAGACATAAGTTTGAAGAAAAAGCTATGGGAGGAGTATGCATGATAAGTCGTATCTAGATCCAGAAAATAAAAGAAAACTAGGGAATTATCATACTTCATAGGATACTTTTTATCCCAGAAAAATGTTAGGTTCCCGAGGGATAACAAAAAAACTAAATTAAACGCGAACGAAGTCGCGGCGGTTAATAAATAAATACATAAAAAAAACATGTTGTATGAGTTTATTTATTAAACAAAGATTTTATACTATGTCTTATTGCCATGGTCCAGAGCCTTGAGAGAAGGAGTATGTTAATAAATAAATACATAAAAAAAAAACATGTTGTATGAGTTTATTTATTAAACAAAGATTTTATACTATGTCTTATTGCCATGGTCCAGAGCCTTGGGGAGAAACAAAATAAGACGTTAAGTACTGGCAGACATTTACACCACCTGTAAGATTTCTTATATAAAGTATCTTCATTTTTTTTTCTTTTAAAATTTCTATAAAGCAAATCACAAATTAGAACTTTCTCGTTAATTGACATTGTATGTATAACCTTGACTGGAGCATTGCCAAATAAAGACCGGTCGAATTGAGGAGATAAAAATCGATGATCGACTGCATCAATTGTATGCGTACCTCTATCAATTAAACGGTTTAGTTGTGTGGAAATCCTGAGAACTACAAAACGCGACAAAACAATTTAGTCGATGCAAAAGTTGTATATATGCGCTAGCCCTTTGTTGTAACTTGATGTGCGTCTATCTCTATTACGATTTGTTACTTGATTTAGACTTAGATTTCAATCTCGTGCAATTTAGACTTAGCTTCAAGGTTCAGACACGGCAAAAGATATTATTTTCCTTATGATAAGCATAATACAAAGAGCTAATATTGAGGTGTCGTATTGCAGAATAAATATAAATAAGTAGTTAGCACCTATCTATTCCAAGATTTATTATGTTTTTATTAGCACTTGAACATCTACTAAACGATAGTGTCATACGCGAAAAAAAATTCGAGCGGCTCCAATGACCGCTAAGAACCAATGATCGACATTCCCTTCCGTGATCAATAAAAATAAGAGTAGGCGGATGATCGGTTGATCATCCACTATTATCTCCATTGATTACAAAAAATTCGATCACGGGGTTCTGTCTGTCATTGGTGCCACTACCTTACACCTTGCACACGTAATCAAAAAGCAGCAAAACTTAAATAAGCCTCAGTTGAAATGTTTTCTCTAAAATATTTATAACTTTTCGTTTGTATGGAAAAAACATTGCCCGCCACCCCTCTTAATTGATGGCTGAATGACGTAATTTGCCATGACATACCTGACAAACAACTTATCAAGTAGATGTTTATTAAAAGGAAATCCTAATAATATTAGATTGTGACTGTTTGTACGTTTGTTTCCCAATCACGCAAAAATGACTAATCATATTTGCATTAAATTTGACACACAAATAAATATAACCCGGATTAAGGCAAATGATATTTTTATCCAGGAAAAATTTAATGTCTAACGCACATAAAGTCGCAAGCGGAAGCTAGTAAGTTATAAGTGTCAGTGACCTAATTCTAAGCTGATTCAGGTTTAGAAAATAGGCATGATGACGGGGTAAGTAAACAGAATTTATTTATTTCGTCAGTTAGATTATCAAAAATAATGGACACCTTTTTTTCTTTTGTCTATCAACCAAAAAATTATAAAGATAAAGCGCGTCTAAGCCAATGTCACTCTTATGTAAAAATTGAACCAAGACGTGACGTCATGCGACATTTCGATGTTCGTTCGACGTTCGACGGACGAAGTAAAAAAAGTTGATCATCACCCATTTTCTTTGGATTTTAGATTACAATCACACAACTTTCTAATTAGTAATAACAATTTGAGGTAACTAGGTAGTAGGTACCGTATTTTATGTTGCCTTATGATTGTAAACATTTAGTAACTTATTTAAATAAAATTCGATTCCTCCTTTTTGTTAACGAATAGAAACCTTTTTTTAGAGTGACAAATAACATAAATAAAGTAACCAAGGCGTTAATATTGTCGTTATTACCAGCTGCAAGGTCAGAAATACTGCAATATAATGTTATAACTATTTAATTTTGAAAAAATCTATTTATGCTTTAATTTTTTTATGTTAAAAGAGTTGCAAACAAGCTTATGGCCCGCCTGATGGTAAGCGGCCACCATAGCCTTTAGACTCTTGCGACATCAAAAATATCACTCGCAACGTCGCCTACCCTGATCCAATCCCCTACCCTGTGGAGTTACAAATTCGAGTAAGGTTCTAGACCTTACTCATCGTTATACTGTTTTGTACTCATCATTAACCATTATCATCATCACCAGCCCATTAACGTCACCACTGCTTGGGCCTATGACCCACCATACGAGCCCAGTACAAATAAGCTTCAGCTTCACGTGCCTTCCGAAAGTTCTGAAGCACGAAGAATGTCACACAAGAAATGTTTGGTTACGCATCCTTTTACCGATCTTTATGAAATTTGATTAACTTCCACTATCGCAGATCGAATGCGCCTTCGAGCTCTCATTGTTAATTAATAATTCGTTCTTATTTTAAATCTTAATGATTACATTTTCTGTTAAATATTTACATACTAGCATCTCGACAACTTTACAAAAAAAATTTTTTTGCTTTGTATTCTATGTTGTTGAGACCCAAGCACGAACTTTGATAGATCCGTAATCATATCGTCATCGTTAATTTTTGTTGTTTGTTGAGTTTGTTCTTACGTCCGGTAGGGGCGCTGTTTAGTTTAAATAGAAACTGTCAAAAATCGTGCTTGGTCCTCTGTACACATTTCGATTCTGCTAAAACGGGAGGAAAACAATAATGAAAACATGTCAGTATTCTCAGCTTATTTTGTTGACTTACCTCCTTTATTGTCCATGAGGTCTGTGTACCAGTTTAATATGGTGGCCATCTTTGGGTTGGGTTTAACTACAGGCTAATTAAATCTGTAACAACAGAAATTATTTAAATTAGTAACCTCGTGTTAATTGCCAGGATGATTTAGCATTAGGACTTGATGATGTTGTGATTGTGACCCAGTAAGGTTACATAAATACCTAACGTGTAATTCTTGAAATTTAAAGACACCTGCTATCTTTGTACAGATAAATAAATCATTATACAGATAGACTTATCGATTTATGCAACTTTTTTTTAAATATCATAAGCGGTATAATGGGCCCGATCTTTAGTTCAACACTTGCAATATAATAAACTGCTCGATATTATAGAAACAATAAAAAATTGCTTACAACAATAAGTGTAGTGACACTGAAGGGCAATAAACTATTATATACATGAGAAAATGAGTTTCATATGCGAAATTGCTTATTTCATTACGTACTTTTTGTATTAGTTATATTATACTTATAACTGAAGGATGAACCTCCGTATCAGATTTCTATGATAAAAGATTTTGTTGGAAAAGAGTGTAGAATGCCTAATAATAATGCATTAAAATACATTAAAATAAACATTACACGCACAAGACACAACCAAGCGATTAACTCAATGAATCTTTTCTGTGACAATAAAGTAATTTGATTCATTAATAGATAGCTGATGTCTGTTTTTATAAGTACTAATCAATTTGTTATGGATTAGGTAATATTAGACAATAGAAAGAGATATGTACGTAATCAAGGATTCCTAAGATAAATTTGTAAAAACCTATATTAATGACATTAAGGTTATGACCAGCGATTAAATAGTAAGATAACTTCCTGCATATCGTCACCGTGTTTTTAAGGTCAACCATATTTTCAACAAAATAAACGTTATAAAAATATACCTGATGATAATACTTTCAACAAACTTTGCATTAAGTTTACCATATTATTGTGATCACTATAATACTATGTCGATATAAGTACTATTGTATATTTAAGTTATAAGTATAAATTATTAATATAAGTACAACTTATTGTTAACGAATTATACGTGACCAGCACAGGTTAACATCATTCTTAATAATAGACACATTTATATTTATATTTTTGTCTGTGAGGTGGGTGAATTAAGACACGCTTTAAAGACGAGAGGAGTAAGTCATTAATTTATTGATTCTTTCGGAAGCATAATTAATCTAATAAAAATTTGCACTTCTTAATAAATAAATCGTGCATCCGTTTTCAACGAAGATGGCAGCAGACTGCTGTGTTGTAGCCCTTGACATGCGTTTCAGTTGTCGACTAATTCGTTTCTGGTAGATCTGGCAGGCAGCAGTGTATTTATTTATATATACACAGGTCGGTAATCCATCAGGGTCCATGGTAAAAAAAATATTGGAAACAAAAAAGTAGTTTGTGTAGATTACGAGTTAATACGTAACAATAACAATGACTTTGATATCGTTTATATTCAAACAGAAAAAACATATACAGTAATATTATTTACGTAGATACATTAGTAAAAATATGCCCTTACTGACACGGAATAAAGATAATGCAATCTTATTTTTCCTGCTTCACCTTAACTGTCTCAGTCTCAGGTCTCAGAGATGGGCGTATATTAATAACCTACGTAATTTATTACCGGATCTTCGCGATGTTTTCTTTGTTGAAGAGCAAGTGACATTTCAATACTTCCGACAAAATTATTATTAATTTAAGAGTAGAGGACTTCACTAATATAGGTAATATAAAGGAAGTAGCTTTTCCATTTCTTTATGTTTACAAACCGCTCCATTCCAACAGGGTTTTGATTTTGCTAAGCTAACGTAAAATTGTCTCAATATTGGTTCCGTAGTATCCCTTTTAGAAAGCCGGGTCTCCAGTAAAAGTTTTTTTGAAAGCATTCAACAAAAACACATACACAAAACTTTGTTTCTGAAACATGTTTCTCTAGACACGCCGTCTACTGCTCATGTAGCTGTCGTACACAAAATACCCAGTGTTGCGTTCCGAACCTACGATCCAAAAAAAGGTGCAACAAACAAAAATTTCGTACATTTTATGTCAAAATTTAAACGTCCGAGTGAAAAGTTCACTCGGAGCGAAGTTTGGAAATCAGCCGCCGCTAGAGTTTTCAAATAAATGGCCGATAAAACAATCTCCTGCCCCCAACCCGCGCTGGGGTGATTTGTGTACGTGTTTTCCATCGGACTCGGAAAGAAAAAACTTTGTTGGTGCAAAGAAATATGTATAGTGAAACAAAATTTTGTTGAATGTTGATATGTTTTTGTTGATTGTGTAGGGCAAAACACGCGCTGAAGACTTCTTGTACCTAAAACTATAATTTAACTTATAAGGATCGACATCCTTAAGGTGGTGTACACATTTTGATAGCTTCTGGCTCAGAAGCTTGGCATCCTGCAAGATGATTTGCCAGGCATATTCCAAAGGGTAGGAAGGGTGAAAAGGTTTTCCTGGTTGTGCGAAGGAGGAAATACGCGGGCACGAACAAAGATTTCCATTTGCTAATACTTAGTGCGACCAAGAAGTGAGGCACTAATTTGTATTAAAATTATTGTGACCACAAGTCGGTCAGCGCGCAAACTCATATCAGAGAAGAAGGTGGAATAAGGCTAAGGTTACCATATCTCAGGATTTGTCCGGAGATTTCAGGATTTTTGGACTCTTCTCAGGATTGCGGCTGGATTTTGCAAATCTCATGAAATCTCAGGATTTTTTTCAATTTCCAATAAAATACAGCTTACGTTTTAAAGATCTCTCTAATAAAAAGTTAAGTTAGACAAACTAAAAATTATCTTCTATTGGTAATAATTGCACAATTAAAATCAGTACTTTATTATCCAAATAGGTAATTATTCAGTTTTATCATTCTTAATATGTGAGGATACATTTTTTAAGGAAGGGTTTTCTTCAATTATGGATTCATATAATGCCCCACATGTTAAGCTCTTCAAATTATATTGATTTAAAAGTATAAGCAGAGTATAAACGATAATATTACGACTTTTTTAAATTGTAAAGTACGTTTGAGAGAAAATTCTTAAACTGTAAAAAATCTCAGGATTTTTCAATGGAAATCAAGCCTTTTCTCCGGACTTTTGATTTTATCATATGGTAACCCTAAATAAGGCTCAACTCACACTGGATGGCGCAGAGTCGAAGCGCTTGACGCTCCGCGTCATGGTTTTCGCTTTAGGAATACCTTAACAGTGGATAAAGGAGCTGAATATGCTACAGCTACAGGCGAAAAACATGAAACTTTGTATTAAGGAGTCTCGGGCCTTCGCGCGCCGCCGCGCGTCGATTAAGTAGCAGAATACCTTTATACTAGGAGAGAGATGAATATTTTGCTATAGGCGAAACCTGTTGGACCATAACGCGTCGCGTCGCTTCGAATTTGCGACAATGTGAGTTGATCCTAAGGGAAAATAACCACTCGAAACATTCGCCTTGGTATATTCGACAGAACGATCTTAATAACGCTGAATCACGATGTAATTGTAGAGGCTGTTAGTCGCCAATGACGCGAATCGTACGACGCGGTAACTAGTCAAAGCACGTAGTCGTGCTTAGTGGAGCCCTCTCCGAAGTGCGAGCAACACCTTAAGTTATTTTTTATAATAAATACAATAGATCGGAGATACAATAAATAGTTTCAGGTCTTTCGAAATTTCGAGAAGCTATAACATAACAGCAAAGTAGGTATAATTTGACTTTACAATTAATTATATTATCACACATGCATAATCACAATACTAGTTTTGATAAACTATAAATATCGGACTGGACATCTCAAATCAGGATACCAATTTACAGTAACAAAGTTAGTCTCACAATCAAACAGAAATATTATTTTAATTATAGGTAAATTATCAATCATTATAGTTGACAATACCCACTGAAGCACAAAGACCACACTGTATTTAAATAGCTAGGGATCTGAGGCCCAAGTACGAATTTTAACAGCTTCGTGATCGTATCGTCATATGTTGTATGGAAAAAGTCAGTTTGTTCTTAGGTCCAATAGGGGCGTTGCTTAGTTTTCATGGAATTTGACAATACCATACGATGACGGAGCTGTTAAAATTCGTGTTTGGGCCTCTGGTATTATGGCGATGTTAATGGTAATTAGAATATGCCATCTAAAGATTTCTAGGTGGGATACTCGGTTATAAAAGTCAATAGCGGGACAAGTGGAACTAACAAAATTTATAAACAATCAGCTACAATAAATTACTGGTCTCAAGTTTAAAAGTGACGTCGACAATTCCTAAATCCTAATATACAAAACAGGGTATACTGTAGGGCAAGTTTCTGGTGTGATTTCCGCGCGCGCGTTGGTTGGCTTCGCTATAAATTGTGTAATAAGTAGGTAAGTGTACTATAATTCTTAAAACACTGTCAATAATATTACTAGGTGCTGGTTTAGTAACCTATATATATTATGTAAATACATCGATTCCTTTGAAAATAAAATTACTGTCATGATTCAATTATAATAAATTACGTATTCATATAATATACAATACATAGTAAGTCTCATTTCATCATCGAATTTATTTTGTATGTATGGTTAGCGAACAGTAAATGCAATCGCACAATGACGTTGTTATAGTTGATTAAGTACCCTCTATCATCAGTCATTACTTAAAAACAAATACTGATTTACTTTTTATAATTATATTTTGCAATGCACGTATATATTGATATAATAATTCAAAAATAATATGAAAAAGAAGTCACGAGTAACACATGTGATCTCAAACGATGAATGTTACACGTATATTTTACAAACACAAAATACGTAATCCTGCGAGTGGACACAATGGCGGAAGTGCGCATTGCAGCACCGTCCTTAAAAACTTACCGTTCGAAGATTTCGCATACAGAATTACTGATTAAGAAGAGTTTCCGTCAGTTACATCACACACACGATAATACATAGAGGCATCGAGAGAAAGGGGGCGATTCAACACCAACCTGCCGACTATAATGCGGGTTGCAGACCAAGAGCTAAGTTAGTTTAGCTTAGC